GCCGGCCTGGCCACACAAAGCCAGCCTTGTCCCCGTCTGGCCGCCATCGCCGCAGCACTGGTTCAAAGAGAAGCCGCTCTCCACCTGGGCTGAAGTCCCAAGAGGGAAGACCGTGTCGGTGCCAAAGGCTGATTTTTGGCAGCTTTGGCCGCTCCCCTGGGCACCAGGCTTCAGTGATGCCGGGGCTGGGAACTGGGACCCCTGGGTGCAGGGCACCCCGCACGATCCCAGCTTCCTTTGGAAGAAATTAAAGCCTTGCTTCTAGCCCTAGTGTTTCCACAGAAAAGCGGGACGGCGCAAAGCGAAGTGCCACTGGGGAGGCTCAGCAGCGAGAGGAGGAGCAGGAGGATGCACAGGGACCCAATCGTCCCCGCAGAGGCAGGGCTATGCTTCGCCCCGGCCTTGCACTCTAGTTCCCCCTCCTGCTGTCACAGTCCCAATGTCCCAATGCCAACACAGGAAACTTGGGGCCAAAACTGGAGCTGCTGTCCTCAGTTACAATAAAAAGCCATGTTGGGGATGGGGCAGCCTGGGCACCTCAGCACAGCTCAGGTACCATCCAGTACCCGGGCCCCAGCCCCAGCCCCAGCCTGCCCCCTGGGACCCTCGGCCTCATGGTCCATGGGGCGAACCCCCCTCTGGGTGCCCAAGCCCCCAGGCTGGCAGGGACAGGCCTGGGGGAGCTGCTTTTAAAGCTCCACACTCCTTTCTCTTGCCAGGGGCACAAGGGGGCAGCTCCCGCCCTGGCTCGGCCACATGCCACCCTGCAGCCTAAGCCGCTCCACCGGCGTGGCTGGGGCTGGACACAGGGAGGCTCTCCCCAGCTCTCCTCCAGAGCCAGAATACTGAGGTCATGAGGAATGTGAGAAGAACAGAGTCCAGAGCAGCCCTGGCCAGCGCGACTTGATTTATCTCAGCCAGGCACGCTTCCCTCGAAGCTGCACACAGGCGATAAGCACCGAAGCTCGGGGCTAAGGCTGTTCCAAAGTTAAAGGGAAACCACTGAGCAAGCACACAGCTTCCTCTGCTGCCAGCGACCTGCCGGGATTCAGGCTCCTCACACGTCCGTCACACATCCCCATCACCTGTAGTGTCACCCACCAGTGCTGCAGGCTGGGTGCGGACAGGAGGTGTCCGGGGCTCCTCACACCGTCCCGGCCCCATCTCCTGCCCCAGGGCCGTATGGGACGGCCCATGCTCCATACCACCCACTGTCCCTGCGCCCACTCGCCCAGGCCACCTTGGCCATGCTGGGGCTGCTCATGGAGGAGCTGGATCCTGTGCGGGTGGGTGTGCCGGCACTGACCCAAGGAAGGAAAGGGAAATGCTTCGATCTTTTCAACAGCCTAATTTCAGGGTTGGGCTGTTATTTCTGGAGTTGTCGTCATCGTCAGCCCGGTTGGTCAGGAGGCTGCAGGGGCTGCTTGGGCTCTGCAGCCACTCCAGCACCTCGGGGACCTCCCCGAGCTCACACAACACCTGGACAACAGGCACATGCTCCGTAAGCAGATGTACTCACACAGGGATCAGCTCTACGTGCTCTACCTATAGCTCTATAGTGTTCCACTAGAAAACATCGACTCCTTGTCCTGCAGCCTCGCCACAGCTGCCCACCAGCACCTTCCACCAACACCTCCCCAGTTCCCCCATAGCTGGTGAAAATGGACAACACATGGGGTTGGCAACAAGCCCCGAAGGCCCAAGATCACCCTGCTGCGAGGAGGTACGTGGCCATGAAGTGGTTAAATTTACACCCAGGGCACACAGGCACAGTTGGGGTACGCCCACAGCCTCACAGCAGGGTACCCATGTGCGCGCAGGGAGGACCCCGAGCCCCCTATGCCCTCCAGCACCCCAGAGGGGCCTGCAGCAGCCTAGG